CTTCCCCTTTTGTACCTATGTGAATATACGGTAACGTTGACCATAGCCTAAACTTTTAGTAATAAAAAATTACTCAGCTTGAGTTGTCATACATATATTTGGGTTGCACATCAGTAAAGTGCTTCCTAGTCACATCGACTTGCCGTCAGTTGGTCGGGCACTTTGCCATCATAGTCGCTAAAAAGACTACTGAAGAAGTACACTTTCTTCGAGTGATTTTGCCCTTATATATGGACAGCATTCGTAAGCCTATGGTTTCTTGTTCTCGCTTTGCTGTACGTCTGTACTTTAAATTTTCTATATCGATTAAAATTATCCTTAAGTTTTTGGAAAAAAATGTCATACATCTAATATGAAAGTAATTTTGTCCGGCCCTTCTGAAGATGCTTGAGGATTTTAAAATGCATGTTGAACGTTTTCAATTGAAGACAAGGTATACACACCTTTGTCTTGTTGAACTACTGCCAAATCTACATTGACACTAATTTTTAAATGCTCATCAACTGCTAACAAAACTGCCTTGTCGCGCTGTGCCTTGGGTCGTGGCTGCTAGCAGATGGTACTGCCGACAAACGCAAGAGAAGCTGGAATGTGGCCATTTCTGGCTAATTGGCCATCGCTAGGCAGTCATAACGAGCCCTGAATGGTGCATTACACGGAGCTTGACCTCGCAACCTACTAAAGGAGAGTCTACCACCCTAAACATTGAACCACGAGCTCGTTGTCTTTCCGGTTTGGTTTGGGTGATATTGGCACTAGTTTATGAAAAATCACCGACCGCTAGCGGAACTCGACCGTCCCGCTCTGCCTTCGAAATCATTGCTCGGACCTTGACATCAACCGCAATAGATAGTAGTACAGGCAGGTACAGTAGACGCCAAAGGTCACGCAATATTTCGACATAGGCGAAAGACTGATACTCTTTCGCTCATCGGCATTGACTCGCGTTGTGATAGTGATTATGGTGTAGTCTATTCTGAAATTATTTCAGCCATGATAGGATGCGGGCTTTTTAACGAGCTTCTTTCTGACCACTAGCAAAACGTGTATACTGTAAAAACTGGCTACTTTAGTAGTATGCCTTTTTATAACTTATTTTGGCCGCCTTTATAAATTCAACTATATTTTATGGGAAACATGCACGAAACAATTATATCTTATACGTGTTTGATAGCGAAAAACCCCTTCTTTGGATTTTATACTCAAAGAGAGGGTATCTTTCGGTTTAAAAGAATTTGCTTTTTTGAGCTTTTTTACGGTTGTGAGGTCTAAATTCATAATACATCCTATCCGTCAATTTATTAATACTGCCTATACTGCATAAAATATGTTTTAAATCTATTTCAATATTTTATGACTACTATGTGACTTCTTCCTCAAACTGT